GCATTCCTGGTGTGGATATCACCAGGCTGGGGATTTGTGCCCCCTGCAAGGGCCTGGCCCCCAACAAACAGCAGGCACAGAACATTCCTAGACCCATCTGTGCCCCAGGGCTCCTGTCCCAGCCCACAAGGGTGCTATGTAACTGTAGGCAGGCTGAGCAGTCTTTGTTATGCCTGTGCTGGGAGGCCTGGCATGGCCCCACACCATAACATGGCATGGCATGGCATGGCATGGCATGAGCGGTCACATCCTTCCCCTGCAGGGTGGATCCTGTATAGCAGCAGGGCAGCTATGGGTTTCTGCCAGCCCTTAGGGAAGGGGCGCCAGCTCTTGCCTCTGGCTGCAGTTGTGGGACCCCTTGGAAAAGAGGGGGTCCCTGCAAAAGTCAGCTGGCCCCACAGCAGTGCCTGGGGAGAAACGAGATCACCGCCCCCCACCATCACCACTCTGTGCCCTCTGGCCCCGCAACAGTTAGGGGTGAGTGGGGGTTAGTTGGCATTAGAGGACAGACAAGCAGGCAGGGCGCGAGCCAGGCTGACACCAGCCCCAGTGTACCCCACAGATGGCTCAATGTCCCAGGTGAGCACTGGTGCCTGGCAGAGACGTGAGGCAGAGATAGACCGAGCCAGCCCAAACCCTGCTTCCCAAAGACAATGGCCACCACTGCAGCCCCAGGGCAAAGACACCACGCCGGCCCCGGCCACCACCATATGCCCCCACACCCAACCATGCCCCCCTCCCCACCCACAGCTGGCCCAGTGTGGGCTCGCTTACTCAGTGGCCCCAAGCCACTGCCCACGCACGCCCCATGCAGTGAGGGTGTTACCAGGGTTAGTGAGTAGTGGGAACACTATAGACAGAAGGGGGCCAGTGAGGGAAGAGAGTAACCGAGTGCCTGAGCCTGCCAGTACGTTGCATGGGGCTGGTTGGTTAGGGCTCAACTGCAACCCGGAGACCCTCCGACTGCCTCAGCAAGCCGCTCTCACCGAACTGCCGAAAGGCTGGGCTGGGTCCAGCTGCAGGAAGCAGCATCCTTCTTGGAGGGAGGTCAGCACCCCAACACCACCCCTGACCTATCCTCTCCTCAGGCAGCAGAGGCACTGGCAGGCAGAAACCCCTGGACTTGAACATTTGGGTTCCCAGAAGGTTGAGGTAAAGGTTTGCTGTGCCCCACTGACAGAGGAGGGTCCATGGAGCCCAGCTCTGCATCTCACGCTGTCATGGTGGCTAGCCCGTGCCGCAGCTGAGGGCACATGCTTGCACCTTGATGCTGGAGGAGGGACCTCTCTCAACCCATTGCTCCTAATAGATGCCTTGGACCCCTGGCTACTCCTCAGGCTACCAGGAGGTACCCCTGCGTGGTGGAGTTGGGACCGCCCTGTGACACCACACCATTCACCTGTGCAAGGCCAGCAGTGTGAGGACACAAGAGGCTGAAGGGCCAGAGTCCACAAGTGAGGGGGTGTCCTGGGCCACAGGGACATCTGAAGACAACAAGACCCCCCTGCTCATAGCTCAGTACCCTCCCGTGACTGAGCCAGACCCACCCTGAAAAAGGGACCTGTGCCAGGGAGGGGAAAGGCAGGTGCAGGAGGCACATGGCCCCATACCAGCATGTGGTGAAAGCCTGGTGTGGCCAACAGGCCTCCAGCCCCACAGGCATCTTCTGTCCCAAGGGACAGGGCAGGTCTCTGGCCCTCTCAGACAGAGGAGGCAGAGACCATCAGGCAGAGCGCCAAGAGTGCAGGGGGGTTTTGTCATGGCCTAGCAACCTTGACCATGCCACAGGACAGGGGATGAAGTCTCTTACCGTCTGTGTGGACCCGCATGGCCGAGGCAGTGATGTCGGTCGTCACATTGAAGTAGGGAAGCCATAAATCCTGTGGGAGGCATGAGGAACAAAGAGGATGCCCGTGAGCAGGGCACAGTACAGCAGGGGCATGGACCCACCTAGGGGAGCTGGGGCACCACTCCCACAGGCTCTGTGCTAGGAGGACAGCCCTCCAGAGCGGGAGAACAGCAACACCCCCCCCCACCCCCCCCCCCCACTACCAAGGCGGGGACATAACTCTGGAGCTCCCCCAGCCTCACCCACCTCAATCTGCTTGTCATGGAAGACCTTGTGGATGCTGGTGTTGAAGGCGGAGCCGGAGAACATGGAGGTGATGGGGTAGGTGAGATCCAGCACGGTCTCAAACACCGAGTTCATGCTCTGCAGGAGGAGGTGGCAGCTGGGATTGTGTTGGGTGCCAGGTTCAGGCATAGCCCTGCATGCAGGGTGCAGGCTCCCGGGCCAGCAAGAGGGAGCAGGTGCTTGGAGCCCAAGAGGGGGACTGGGCACGCAGCTGCAGACCAAGGTGGCACCCACAGAGCCGCCCTTGGTCCCCTGTATACATGCCCCAAGCTGCCCTTCTGTGACTCTGGCTCAGGTACATGTTGGAGGCAGCTGCCAAGCCCAGAGATTTCCATATAGAGGCATTGTCTGGATTCCTCCCTGCAACCCACAGGGCTCTGCAATGACTTGAGTGGACAGCCCAGGGCCAAGAGAGAAGCCCTGTGTTCCCAGGCTGGTGGTGACAGCTCCCAGCCTGCAGAATGGACCTAGAGAGGGGCAGGGACAGTGGGACTCTTCCTGCTGTGCTCACCCCAGGGTGCCATGGCCCCCTGCCTCACACTGGAAAAGACAGCAGCCATCATCTTTGCTGGCTGATGGGTGGGCACAGCCCTGCAGCCTATGGCCATGTCCCTTCACACCCCAGTGGCCTTGGGGTAACTGGGGCATCCCAAGGGAAGGGGGAGCCGTTTCCTGTCCCTGCTTTCCTGGGTTGGGCGCATTGTGCCCCTCTGACTTAGTGAACTTGGCCCCCACCCCTTGACTCCTAACCTTAGCCCACTCGCGGGCACGCTGCTTGGTGCGGACGGCACTGCGCTCCTCAGCATACAGGGCCCCAATGAAAGAGCCGATCGAGGTACCCCCGATCAGGTCGATGGGGATCCCTGCCTCCTCCATGGCCTTGATCACCCCAATGTGGGAGCAGCCCCTGCAGGCAGGACGGAGGGGTCAGCTGACTTGGCCTGACCCATGCAGCCCCTAAGCTGGCTGGCTGTGGTCAAGGGCAGCACTCCCAGCATGCACTGCAGCGTCACAGCCCCCACCAATGCCATCTTCCACTCCTACTGGGGGCCCAGACTCCTGCTCCCACTCTGCACATAGGACCCCTTCCCAGCACAGGGCCAGCTTGCCTCCAGGGACAGGAAACCCACAGGAGTCCCCACACCCCCAGGTCCTACCTGGCTCCACCTCCTCCCAGCACCAAGGCGATGGTGTTGCCCGTCAGAACCCGTGCCAGGCGGGAGAAGTCGCTGTGGCGGTCAGCATTTTTCTCAAAGACCTTCTCGTACATCTCCCGCTAAAGGGCCACAAGAGACTGCCTCAGACAGGGGGACAGACCCCTGTAGCCCCTACGCCTATCCATGGCACCAGTGGGGGATCCAGGAGGGGGTAGGGGGGCAGGCGCAGCCCCCTTTGGATTTCTGCTCCACCCAAAGTTTAAAGCCAACTGCCAGTGTGGGGCAGAAGCATTTCTAGTCAGGCAGCGCCAAGAAACTCAATTGACTTTGTGGATCATTATCTTCCTGCCACTGTTAATCTCTCTTCACTCTGCACGTGGTAATGACCCTCTCCTTTTTTTTTTTTTTTTTTTTTTAAAAGATGTTCTTGATGTTCCTCTAATCCATCTATCCTTTTTGCTGCAATTCTGCTGTCTGTTAGCCATTCCTTGTCATGTCGCTGTCCTGTTTCCCAGCCCTACAGACTGCTTTTAGCTCTAGCTAAAGACCTTAACTGTGGTGTGGTCATATTCACTGAGGTGTAGAAAAAACAGACAGTGAAATATTGAAGGCACTATCAAGGGGCATTTATACATATGTTTATCTGCCCCGTAACTCAGAGATCCACCGCTTCAGAACAGACTCAATTAATCAAGCCTGCTCTGCACGCAAGCTGAGGTGAACTATGCTGCCCTGTGCGGGTGCAGTTGTGTAAGTGGTGAAATGCGCTATCAGCACGCAGAAAATGGCGGCAGTGCGCTTTTGAACTAAAGCACCTCTGATGTGTTTTACTTCAAAAGCACACCGCCACCATTTTCTCAGTGCTGACACACATTTCACCACTTACATAACTGCAAGCATTGCAGGACCGGGTGCTTTTCAAAGCACCCAGTGCTGCAGTGCTTGCATGTGTAAAAATGGCCCTGCTCAAGAAGGCCAGATTTTGTTTTATGAATCTGAATAAGAGATGTACATTTAACTATAATGACTACAGGACTGATGCCACAATATCTTTTGACTACGTTTTGCCTAATTTGTTGGGGGGGTTTTTAATGTCATATAACTACTGGAACATGCACTGTATATTTCCTTTGATCTTAAGCTGAATAATATCGTTTCTAGCCCCCTAGTGTATTAGTAAAGCTTCTAGTTTTTCCTTTAGCTAGAGCAAGATACATGTTGGGTTATACATGATGATGCATCACACCGTGTGCACCTCCCTTTTCAAAATCCTAGATATGCCCATGCATGGCACCCCCACCTAACCAACACCCCTCTGGTGCCTGCCCACCCCATCCCACCCCACCCCACCAGGCAGCCAGGCTCATTCACTGAGGCTCAGCAGCTCCATGTAGCCTTGCTAGGACACATCCCAAGCATAGAAACACCCCCATGCTCCAGTGCAAAAGGACCCTCCGCCCCATGCTCAGCCCAGCACTTTGGCACCATGCACCTAATGCCATCGCCAAGCTGGCATCAGTGCCATGGGGGCCAAGCCCTGTCCAGTTAACACCATGGGCAGCCCAGTCCCTTGAAGGGTCTGCAGATCCCCAAAGCCCAGCCCAAGGGCCATAGGGCAAGCGTCCTACCAACTTGCTCGGGCTGCGACGGGAGAAGACACGACGTGGGCACTTGATGTGGAGGTGACCTGAGCACCAGCTGCGCATGTTGAGCCACTCTACGGTGCGAGAGGGGCTGGGCCCATCCTCCCGGTGCAGCAGGACAAGCTGCTTCAAGGCGCGTACGGCTGTGTTCTCCAGCATCTGCTCCAGCTGCAGGGGTAGGAACAGTCATGGGGGTGGTATGGAGTGTGTATCTGGGCATGCAGCCCCCACCCTGCCCCATGCCAGGAGGGAAGCCCAGGACCCTGCTGCCAGCAGGCATGCAGGAGAGGGCCTCACCTCACCCAGCGTGGGCTCCTGGTCACCCAGCCCCACGATGAGGATGCAGTCAGCCTGGCGGATGCAGCGCAAGGTCCAGGGCGTAAGGGTGCAGTCAGTCTGGTATAATACTATGCGGTGGATGTCCTCCTGCTGCGCCAGCCAGCCCGACAGCCGGTATTCCTGGATGCTGCCAGGTAGGGGTCATCAGTGCTCCCTTGGATGTCCCCCCAACACTGGCTGGGGCTAGCCAGACATGCCCACCCTGCCAAGAGGGGTTTCCTCAGGCAGCCCCCATGGCACCCAGCCTGCACCATATGGTCCTGCCCCTGCCCCAGGACTTCGAGGACACCTAGCCCTTCCTCTGTCTGCTGCCCCACCATCCCCAGCTCACGCCATGGCTCCCAGCTCCATACCTGTCCAGCGCCGACAAGCCAAGCCGTGCCCGGATAATGTCACTGGTGAGGAGCAGGGTGGGACCTGGAAGAATTCATGGTACCATCAGCCAGCCCTGCCATGCCTCAGTAGGTGGAAGGAGCTGAGGGTGGGAAGTCAGGGGGGGAGCTGGGCCAACACTCACCGATGGCGTTGAGGGCGTGCTTGAGCTCCAGAGTGAAGGCTGCCATAGGCACATCGTCACACACGGGCAGCACTGCCACTGTTGACAGGTTGCTGGCTGGGTTGGTCAGCTCAGAGCTAGAGGTGACACCCAGGCCGGAGCCTGCAGGCAAAAGAGAGGCAACCTGAGGCCCAGGCTTGGCCCACAGGTGCTCACTGGTTCCCTGTGCCTCCAACCATGCCAGCCTGAGGTGAGAAAGCCTGCCCAATACTTGACCCCCAGCCTCCCCACCCCAAAACCATGCCAGCATGGGGTTGGGGAGCTTGCTGCATCCCTGCCAGCAGCCAGGCTTGGTTGTTGGCGCTGAGCAAGGCCCAATTTAACACTAGTGGCTGCCAAGGCAGTAGGCACCATGCCATCCCCAGCCCCAGCTGGGTTTGCAAGGTGACCCTGGGCTTGGCAGCAGCCACAGCAGGGAAGCACCAGCCCCAACCCATTCCGCTGACAGCAGTCACGAGAGCTGCAGGCTTGAGTCCCAGTGAGGGGCAGGAATATCCTGGCTGCTCTGTGCACATGCACCCTGTGCCCCAACCACAGAGGAAGAGTGGGAGGTTGCCAGGCCCCCCTGCCCTACCTGGGAAAGGCCCGCGCAGCTGCTGCAGGCTCCCAAGGATCTTCTGGCTGAGCAGGTGGATCAGACGGGTCACAACCTTAGGGAAACAGCAGCTGCCCATTAGAGATGGTGAGAAGGGGTGGGAGCTGGAGCACATGGGACCCAAGAGGGTTCCAGCCAGCCCACAGGATCCATCCTGCCCAGCACCAGGAGAAGGGATTGCCCAGGGCCTGTTGACCAGCTCCCCCACCCCTGCAGAGAGCAGGGCACAGCCCAGGTGGCCAAGTGCCTCTTGCACTCCCTGCTGGTGAAATCACAGAGCCAAGGCAGAGCGATGCCAGGTGTGCTCACACCCTCAGATGCCTGGGCAGGGAGGAGCTGCTAGGGCTCAGGTCACAGGAGGCTCACATCATCCTGGCAAGCAGAGCTCTCAGCTGGCTCCCTGGGCACAGCTGGGCCTGACATCCCCAGTGCAGAGGAACAGAAGGGAACTGAACTGCAAGCACCAACCCAGGCTCTAAGAAGGCTGAACTTCTCAATCACCCAATGGCATGAGGGCTCAGGCACCTCCAGCAGCAGATGGGAGCTCTCTAGCCAGCACCCCCTCCCCCTGTATCAGGGCTGAAGCAAGTCCTGGCCCAAGTTCCTCAGGGCTGAACAGCCAGGACACAGGCAGCCAATGCCTCAGGAGAGTTCCAGCGCTTGCCTTGGAAGAGGCCATGATGCCAGAGGTGGAAGGGGCTGCACCTGCTTGCCTAGTACCTGGGGGTATCGGCGCTTGATGTTATTTAGGGTCCCCTCAGGCAGCTTGGCCAGCTCTGTGTCTCTCACAGCATGGACAGTGGTGGCCCGGGGCTGCCGCGTCAGAGCTTCCACCTGGGGGCAGAACACAAGGGCTGCATCAGACAGGCTCCACTGCCCATGCCTCACTCCCTGCCCTCAAGGGGCACAACCCAGGTGTCCTGGCTCCAGCCCCGTTCCTGCTCTCCTCTACCATCTGCAGCCCAGGCCAGGCTGCATCCCAGGAGCAGCCCATTCCTGGCTTGGAGGCAGGTGATAGCAGCAGCATCCTGGGCAGAAGCTCACCACGCCAATGAGGTCCCCACGGCCGTACTCGCCCACCAGCTCCTTCTTGCCAGTGCCCTTCTGGATGACGGAGCGCAGGCGCCCGTTCAACACAATGTAGGTGCAGTCCGACTTGTCGCTCTGCCTAAGAGGGCAGCACGGGCAGGGATCAGGCTGGCAGCACCAGCCCTAGGGCTCCTCTGACCTGGGAAGGCCCTGGCAGCAAGGTGGTTGGACTCCTGCCCTCCCACCCCAACTCTCACCCCAGCACCCAGGAAGAAGGGGCTGGTCCCTCCCTCCCTCCATGGCCAGAACTGGGAGATGCCCTGGGTGCTAGCTGGAAGCAGCCTGGGCAGGTCCCCCCAGGCCAGCCCTACTGCCAGGCCCTCTTCTGCAGGAAGGGCCGAGGCTGTGAGGGAGTTTCCCCACTCTCCCTGCAGGAAAGGGATTAATCAGCACAAGGCAGACAAAACTCTGGGCCAGGCCAGGCCAGGCCAGGCGGGGGTGCAAAAGATAGGTGCTGGTCTCTGGGGAGCCCCCTCACCTGTATAGTGCCCGCCCGGCCTCCACGGCCATCCAGTCAATGGCAAAGTCCATCTGGCGCACGAAGGGCGACATACGTGCAGCCACTGTGTGAGCCACGCTCAGCACCACGCTGGGCTGCTCCCTCATGATCCTGCAAGAGCATGGGGTTGGGGGGGGGTAAGCAAGCCACATGCCCATGGGGTGCCCACCATGCCTGAACTGCGACAGTTCCCACCAGGCACAGAGCCAACCATGGAACGGATGGCGCTGCACATAGCCACAGCCCCCTGGGCAGCAAAGCCCACATGGCCTTGCCCCTCAAGGGGGCCTCAGGGCCCTTCCCCTTTAGGGGCTCTGGTCTGACCCCCACAGGGGCCAAACCTGTGGCAAAAAACACACCCCAGGAAGCAATCAGCTGAGGGGTTCTCACCCCCTAAGCCAGCCCTGCAGCACCAGCTCTACAGGCTCCAGGACCTGGATACATGGCCCATGTCATCACTCAAGGGTAGCACTGGCTATACTCCCAGCCCTGTGGGCTCCTATCCACCTGCTGAAACCAGCTGACCCTGCTTAGCTTGAGAAACCAAGCCACCACTGCTATGGACTGGGTGCTGGGTATGGGGAAGGAGGGTGCAAACCCTGGCCCCGGGAGCATGGGCATGGGAAGGGAGGGCTGCTCACTCATAGAAGTCAGACTTGGAGATCTTAAGGAAGGTGCAGTCACGGTTGGCCTTGATGGTGAAAATGAGAGGCTCGCCGGTGAGCACAGCCAGCTGCCCCACCATCTCGCCAGGCTGCGTCAGGAAGAGGCACACGTCCTCAGCCTTGTCGATCATGCGCTGGTACACATGCAAGCAGCCCCACAGCACGAAGTGCAGGCTCACATCCTGTAGAAGTGGCATCAGCATGGGCACGGCAGGGCCAGCGGAATGCCCATGGCAACACTGGCCCCCTGCCCAAGCCCCTGGCACACAGCTCAGCCCCACAAAGACCCTCCCCCAGCAGTGCCAGAAGCCCTGCAATCAAGGGGAGTGGGACAACCACTGCAGGGACCCCAGAAGATGCTCCCAACCCAGCCCCCAACAAGGGAAGGTAGCATCCACAGTCCCTCATTGCTCTTGGCCCCTACCTGTGTCAGCCTCTAGCCTGCTCCACACACAGCCAGGAGAGAGCAGCTCAGAGCATGGCATGGGTAGCTCCAGGGCCAGGCCAGCTGGCCCAGCCTAGCCTGGAGTGCACAGTAAGGGCCCAAGCCCTGGCACCAGACTTCCCCAATGCCCCAGCCTCTTCCTGGGGCTCCCCACAACAACCTGCCTAGCACCCACCTGGTCCCCCTGGCGGGCAATGATCGTGCCAGCCTTGGCGTGATGCAGCAGCACCCGGTTGTTGAGGAGAGATGGGTCCTAGAAAGAGGACAGCCATGAGCACAGGCCACAACCCTGGGAGCTGGTGGGGAAAGTGTGGGGTGGGGAGGTGCTGGTGCATGCTGGGGCACCCCAGGCCAAGCTGCAGGTGGGGGAGGGTGGGGTTATGGTGGGAGCAGTCAGCACCCAACTTGGGCAGAGCTCTGCCAAATTTACTGAGCTGCCCAATAGGACTGAGCTGAAGCACAGCCCACCCTGCCCTGACCCACTTGTAGGCAGGACTGACCAGAGGCTGAGGTGGGGTGCCCTGGGGTTCTGTTTTGCTGGGGGAGCAAAGGCCCGCCAGACTCCCCACCCCCTGCTGCAACAGGGCTCCAGCCCTCACCTCTATCTTCATGAGCTTGACAAGCTCCCGCTTGGCAGCCTCAAAGATGGCGCTGGTCTGTCTGCCCTGGTAGGGCCCGAAGGGGCAGTCACCACCCACTGAGTCATCCTCGCAGTAGTTGTAATGGTAGACACCAGATGGCTGCTCCTCCACCGTCACCGACTTACGCTCCTTGGGCTCATGGGACATGGACTGTGGGGAGAGAGTGGTTCAGCCTGCTGCAGCAATGGCGCTGGGCCCTGTCACCAGTCACCTGGACCCCAGGGGGCACTACCTCGTGCCCCAAAACCCCCAAACTATGGCCAGCCTCACCTCTTCTAGGGCTCAGTTCCAGCTCCCTCAGCCCTGGGAGCCCAGGTGAGGCTCAAGCCAGCACCAGAGACCTGTGCCAGGCTCCCTCCTGGCCACATGCAGCCTGGCCCAGGTGATGGAGAGGCTGCAGCAACCCCCACCCCCATGCCACCTCCCCAGGCACTGCGCCCTCACACTGTCTGTGAAGACCCCCTGGCCCAGGCCCACTGTCCTCTGCCCCTTGAGGGAGGTGGAGAGGTCAGTCCAGCTTTGTGCAGGTGCCAGGCCCAAAGCCGGACTCTGGTGGGAGTGGGGGTCAGGCCTCCAGCACATACACGGGAGAAGGTGGCCAGAGTGCCAGTGCTGTCCTCCTGCAGTGACACCGAAATCCTGCCGCGCTCATAGGCCATGTCAAAGTCCGAGCGGGGACCCCGCTGGATGCCTGCAGGGAAGGGCCAGAGAGGGCTCAGTGCAGGGCTTGCTGGGGCCTGCCCGAGCCAGACTTGGTCACGGTGCCCTCAGCTGCCTTCCCCCTGCAAGCAGGACCTGTTCCCACTTCGACTGCTGGACCTGACCCCCACAAAACACCCCTCCCACAGGCTAGGGCAGGTCCTAAAAGTTCTGCCCAGAGCTCCCCTCCTTGCCCCCACAAGACGACCCATCCCCTACCCTGGAGGACCCCCGACATACCTGAGATGTCAACAGGCATTGAGATGCAGCGGCTCAGCAGCGGTGGCGTGGAGGCGTCCAGGGCCACCACCTTCAGCGGATCAGCTGTGGGGTGACAGACAGTATCACCAGTCCCTTGCAGGGCTCAGACTGGGCACTCATGGCTAGGCTGTCTCCAGAGCTGCAGGAAGAGCTCCATAGGCACTGCAGCTCTGGGGGAGGTGAGGCAGGGAAGCTGGCCCTATGTCCTTCCACCTCCCCAGGCAGCTGTCCCATCCTGACTTGCATGGCTGCCTGGAGCCCCAGTACTCCTTCACCCAGGCGGGCGTCCTTACCCAAGTCTTTGCCAGCAGGGTCAGACTGGCGCCCAGCACTCTCCTTGGAGTCGTCAACGGAAGTGGTGCTGGCCACGCGCTTGCTGTGCCGGATGGGGCTAGTGCGCGTGGTGTGGCTGGGCTGGGTAAAGAGCCGCAGTGGTTGCATGTCCTAAGCACAAAAATGCCAATGTCACCATGGCAGGGCCACAGGGGGACAGACAGATGGACACATGGGGCTCAAGGATAGAAGGCGCAAGGAGCATACTCTGCCCTCCCATGCCATGAACCCAGAGTAGCACCAACCTGGGAATGGGGTGGGGTAGGAGCCACAAGAGTCCTCACCCCTGGGGCAGATGGCCCGCGGCCCAGCACAGAGAGCTGCGCAGCATGTCAAGGGGCAACTCCCATCTCTGGCCATAGAGTGCTAATTTCCAGAGTCTTTGAGCCCCTGCCAAGCCACGTGGGAAGGGTGACCTCCCCACATGCTTATGGGCAGCAAGCATAGCAGCCAGTACTGGCATCACTGGGCTCGGGCAACAAGACAGGTGGGGAACCCTCCCTCTGCACCAAGTCAGAGCCACCCCCACCCTACAGGACAAGCTGCCCTTGGCAGCATGGGACAGGCTGGGCTCTGGCTCCATCCACAGCTGGAAGCTAAGCCTGTAAGCCACAGATACACCACAGCTGGAAGCTAAGCAGAGCCTGTTGACAGCACATGGAGCTGCTGGAGTGGGGAGACACCCCTGCCGCCCCAATCAGGGATTTTTTCAGGCATGGGGCTTGAAGTGGGGGCAGGGAGGGGGTACTGGGCAGGGCTGGGCTCTGGGCTGTGGTACAGCCAGCACTCACGTGACTGAAGAGCTCGTTCGTCAGCCCCAGGTAGTTGTGCAGGGCCAGGAAGGTGACTCGCTGCAGACGCACCATGATGATCTGCCAGAGAGGGATGGGCCATGAGTACCCACAGCTATGGCTCAGGAGAAGAGCAGGAGGCTCAGCCCACAGACTCTGCCCTGCAGGTCTAGCTCTGGTTGCAGTGCCTGGCACTCTGAACGCCCTGTAATTCCAGCACTTCTGGCTGGGGTCAAGGAAGCCCATGCACTAGGCCTGGGGCTTCTTTGTGCCCACCCCTCCACATAGCCCTGGCTCCCTCACCTGTACAACGCGCACCAGGCTCTCTGGGTACTTCTCAAAGACAGCTGAGAAGGCCTCAACTGGCAGCCGCAGCACTGTGGCATCCTCAGCCGCTCGCGCAGACACCGTCCGGTATGGTCGCTGGTGCCCCTTCAAGAATCAAGCACCGGGGGCACCCCCATCAGACTACACCAGGGGCCCCCAGACACCCCCTACCTGAAAGAGAGCAACCAGGCAATCTGGGAGACCCCATTGTTTAAGGCTCCTAGTGCTGCAGGTAGCACATCGTTGGCCTATGAGGGACCTTTTTATGTGGGCAAGCCCACTAAATTAAAAAAGGCCACCAGTTATGGGCAGTGAGAGAGGAAAGGAAAAAAAAAAAGGTTCCAATTAACTAAGGGGGCAAAAAAAGTGACAAAAGGGAATGTGTTTTGACCCTCTGACCCACTAACAAGTGCACCCTAAGGGGACACCAAGCAGAGCACCCCAAACAGTGCGTACTGACTCTCAAAGACAGCTAAAGAGCTGGCGGCCATTGCCCAGTGGTGCTCTGCTTGGAGACGGGACTGGACGAAACCCAGGAATATGGCCCCACAGTCTCCAGGGACCCTCCCAACCAGTCTCCTTCCTGATATAGCACATCATTGGCACTGAGCCACCAGTCAGGCTGGCATTGCCAGGCTCTATGGAGGGAGGGGGAACTCCTCCTGGTACTGGGGCCATGACTGTGGGAAGGTGAGCAGGGCAGTGCTGTCACCAGCAGGGAGTGTGCCATAAACCTGTCCTGAGGGGAAGTGCTGGACAGGCTCACATATAGGAGCAGAGAACCAGGGCTGGAGTCAGGAGGTTTGTGGGGCAGGAGCAAAGGGCAGAGCAGGGCAGAGGGCAGAGCTTATGCAATGCATCAGGTATCATTAATGGTATCAATGCATCAGGTATCAATAATGAACATGCCCATCTCTCCAGTGCAGGGAGCTGTCTGAGGGCTGGGAGCAGCCACATGGTGGGGTTGAGGGGTGCTACCGTGATGACGTCAAGGATGCTGAGCAGGCTGTGCACGCTGTCACCTGGGAACACCTCCTTCATGATGGTCTCCTTCCCATCCTGCAACAGTCCACAGTCAGGGAGCCCTCATGTTCCCCCAGCCCACAGCAGCACCCAGGGCAGCTGCAGCACCAGCCCTAAGATGCCCTGTGGTAGCAGCCGCCCCCCCCTCCCTGCCCAGATCCACTGTCACAGAGCTGTGGGCTCACTGGCTCAGTGAGGAAGACCTCCAGCTTGCCATCCTGCACCACGTAGATGCTGCTGTCGGGCTGGCCAGGCCGGAAGACGAACTCGCCCTGCTGGAACTGCTGGAAGACCATGTGCTTGCACAACTCCAGAAACAGCGGCTTCTCAAAGTGGCCCAGCACCCTGCAGGGATGACCAACCAGTCAGGCAGGCAGTGCCAAGTCCTGTGGGGAGCAGCTTCTGACACAGCCTGTCAGCCACAAGGCAGGTAGGCCTATTTGTTAATCGTCCAGGCCATGGGTCATGGCCCACTGCATTACTTAGTGTCCCCCACTAGTTGGGGGCCAATGGAAGACAAAAAACAACTGATTACTGGGGACAAAAAAAGACAAAAGGGAACATGCATGCGAGTCAGAGCGTCAAAACAAGTGTGCCCCCAGGGGACACAGAACAGAGCGCCCCAGACAGTGCCCACCAACTCTCAAATGTATCTAGACAGCTGGCAGCTACTGCCCAGGAGTGCTCTGCCTGGGGATGGGACCGAAGAAAGCCCAGGAAAACGGCCCCACAGTCCTCAGGGACCTTCCCGGCAACACAGATAGAAAACTTGGCCAGAGCCAGGAGGAGGCTGACCAGGAGGTCCCAGGCTTTGGTGGGGTCACGGATGTAGGAGGCATCCCAAGACCCACCCCTGAGGAGCCCCCAGGCCACTGCCAGCTGAAGTCATGGACAGAGCAGGCCTGTAGAAGGCAGGCAAGCCCTGACCTGGGGCCTGCAGAGATACCACAGTGCAGCCCCCACCTAGCTTCCCCACTCAGGCAGCCAGCTCACTCAGGGATCAGCATTTCAGCTCTCAGGTCCCAAACTCCCTGCTTTCTGGAGAACGCCCTCTGGTGACAGACCCGACTCCAGACCTGTACAGACCCCTACGGAAAAGCTCTCCTCGGCCCCTGTCTGGAGCTTGTGTCTGTAGCTGGGGGCCCCAGGACCTCCCTGAGGAGTGCAGCACCCAGCAGGGAGGTGGCAATGCTGCTGGTGCTCCCTATACCCCGATCAGGGGCTTAGCTTACCACAAACCTCCTACCCCCAGAGCCCACTGTGCTGCTTCTAGAAGCAGATACCGGGGGGGGGGGCGGGGTTTGGAAGATACAGATACAGCCACAACCACAGCCCCTCACCCCCAGCAACGCCACCCATCAGGGAGCCTGCACCTGACCCTGAACAGCAGCCAGCAAGCTAGACAGAGTGGCTGGGGCTGGGACGGGCACCCACACTCTACACTGTCAGATCCCAGTGCCCACTCCCACTCAACAGGCTCCAACCCCCTCAAGCTGCAGCAATGGGCATGAGGCAACAGTGCCATCTGGTGCTGCACCTGTGCCCCCAATCCAGGTGCTCTGGGGAATCTCAGCAAGTCTCCCATCCATACTTGGCACTGGCTAGACTCCATGTAGCTGGGGAGACAGGCTGGGCTCCCAGCATGGGTTGGGGTCCCTGCCTGAGACACTCACCGGACATTCTTCAGCATGTAGAGCACCTCAGAGGGCAGGTGGGAGTTGGCCACATCAAACTCAGTCAGGTCAGCCTCCAGCACTGAGGGTGGAGGCTCCTTCAGCTGCAGTGTAGGCAGCTCTTTCTTGATGCGCAGGAATCTAGATTCAGGAGTGGGTGGGGGAGCAGGATGGGCTGGAGGCCAAGAGCCCACAGGGTACCAAAGGGCAGAAGCCCAAGGGCCCAGGCCAGCCCTCTCCCCAGCACAGAGGGCCACAGCAGCACATCTCACCTGTCTGGGTCATGCCAGAGCCCCTCCACAGCTCCTCTGCCAGCTGCAGCCTCCTCTCAGCAGCTGGGCTGGGCCCTGGGGTGCCACTCTCCCCCTCCCCAGCCCCCACAACCTGCAGCCAAGCCAATGCTGACCGCCTCATATGCCAAGGGCAAAGGGAGCTCTTACTTCTTGGCAATGTTCAGCATCTTCAGCTTCTTCTTCATGCGGGGCCGGGACGTGCTAGAGATAGTTGTATCCACGAGGGACGAGGTGGACTGGGACACCTGCCCAGAGAGGCCAGGGTGAACCATGATGACTGGGACCTCATGACAGTCCCTGCCTAGTGCCAGGCCCTAAGCAGAAGCCAGAGCAGCTGCCCCTTCCCATTGTGACCCCCGTCCTCTCTCCAGAGCAGCAGGCAGTACAGCAAAGGGGGAGGCGGGATCTGTGGACTCCTTCCAAGGACCACACAGGAAGGCACTCTGCTCACATCTGGGGCTGTGGAGCCCATGTCATCCTCTCCTGCTACTGGCCCGCCCACTGCTGCTACTGACTTGGGCTGCAGAGCTGCACTTTCCCACTGCTCCCAGTCTGTGCCACTTTGGCTTGTTCCAACCAGCTCCAGGGAGATCCCCCTGCAGCCAGGCCCACCCAATGCCCCCAGCCTGGATCTGAGCCAGCCCTACCCTAGCCCATTGCTTGGCAGGCTGCCCTCCCCTGGACCAGAGGCCTAGATGGGTGCCAGCTGCCAGCTAGCCAGGTTCCCAGGCATGCAGGACAGAGGGCTGCACTCCATACCAGCCAGCTGTTCCCAGCAATGCCCTGCCATAACCATGAAACCAGGACCCAGCCCTGGAGCTGCAGGCCCCAGGTATCCCACCACCTGCTTCAGTCATGAAACGACACAAGGGAGCAGCAGCCATGAGCAGAAGATACTAGGCCCTGGCAGGGTGAGGGGCTGGATACTAGCACCCAGCACCATCATCGCACCTCAGAGCTCAGGGCCTGTGTGCACTGCCAGTGTCTGTTCAACCAGGAAGGCAGCCCCAAGACACCACAGGCTGGGCAGCAGGAGACAGTGCCAAGGCCATGACCCTTGGACAGGGCACAAGGCAGTGCACCCAGAGACATCAGCCACATGGAGTGGTCATCAGGGTGAGGTCAAGGGCAAAGGGAAGCAAGTGGAGAGTCCCCATTTCCCTCTGGTACCTTGCGCATTATCTTGCGCCCATAGAAGAGCATCTTGTCCCGTTTACGGAATCGGTACTTGGGTGTCTCCTGAGCTGGAACCTCTAGAGAGAACAGGGACACAAGGGGTTAATGGTGCTGGGAGCCAGGATGCAGTGGGCTCCCTCTTGCAAGGGGCAGATCCTGCCCCACCCCAGCCTGCTGCTCCCTGCCCAAGGAGGAGAGGCAAAGGTCAAGAGATGAAGCACAGCAGCTTCATCTCCTCTCCCAGCCTAGGGCCCTGCCCACCCCACCCCACTCCAAGGACTCCAGGAGCTCCATGCCCTTCCCAGTCAATCCCAGGTCCCTCCTGCTGGGGAAACTAAGTCACAGCAAACCAAAAGGCCTGGCCCCAGAGCAGGCAGCCGGGTACAGGGGGAGAACCCTGGCATACTGACTGCCAACCCCCACACTAACCAATAAGCCCATGGACTGCCCAGGCAGGAGTTGATACCCCCCACCCCAACACTCACTGGAGAGGCTATCAAGAGCACCATGCTGGGGCTGCCCCAGTGCTCAGGTGGCACTTACTCTTGAGGCGCAGCCGGCGAACCAGTACAAGGAACAAGGTGGCGATAAGCAACACAGACAGGCTGACCCCAATCATGACCCCCAGCACCTGCAGGAAGAGAGATGCTGACGATGGGACCACAGCTGTTAGATAGCAGGACAGGGCAGAGCTGATGAAAAATGCCATGACTCTGCCTATGGGCACTGCTCCCAGGCTGGGAGCAGGGACCTGCACAGGCCACGCTCCCACAGCACCAGGCAGAGGCTACACACAGAGCAGGGCACCAGCTGCTTGCCCAGTCCCACACTTGGTACCACCCCCCCAGCTCCTCCTCAGAGGGGCTGGAGTGCACACAGCCCCAGACAGCTGGGAGAACCTCAAAACGAAATCCCCTCCCAGCCCCAGGGCCCAGCTGCACCCTGTGCATGACCTGGAGCCCCAGCACCAGCCTCTGGCACCACCAGCACTGGAGAGACACAGGGGCTAGGCACTGGGCCTCAGAGACAATTCCCTGGGAGGAGGGGGCCCAAAACCTCCAGGAGGAACTCAGACCAGGCTGCAACAGAAGGAAGATCAGTGCCCACCTGGAGCTCCCCCAGAACAGTCCCACCAGCCTTGCAGCTCTGCTCTGCTCTGCTGGGAGAAGACAACCCTTGGACGACCCCCTGCCTGGCTCTACATGCCCCCAGTGAGAGGCTCCTGGGGCTCTGGCTGCCACATTGACCCCTGGTCCTGGGTCCTGCTAGCTGCCCCATCCCCACTCACCATGCTGGTCTGCAACTGGTCCTCCACAAGGTACCTGATGCTGGGCAGCATGGCTGTCAGGGCCGTGTCCTGTGGGGAAGAACAGAGCAGGCCTGAGCACCCCAGGCAGGGCCGGCACTGCCTACAGGGCCTGTAGCCCCCAGACTCTTCCACTCCAAGCCTCCCATCACCTGCCACCCTTCCCAGGGTGTTCCCTCCCCCATCTTGCTGGGCTGCCATGCAGCACAAGGAGGGACTGCTACCCCCTGCTGGTGCACAGACCCCTCTGGACTCCTCCAGCAGTGCTCAACCCAGCCACTGTCTGGATCAGACAAAGGCACAGCCAGCCCCTGCCTGACTGGAGGAGGGGTGTCTCCTGACCAGGCCACAATGAGCTGCAATGGGCCAAACACTTGCTGGGAGAACTGTGCTTTTGAGGAGACAACCAGGAAGCCCCGGGGTGGGGGAGGGCGGCAGGGTCCTGCAAGCCAACGCACCCTCCCCCCATCCCGCAAGACAGGCTGCTGGTAGGTCATCTCCATGCAAGGAGAGGCTGTAGGAGCTGGGTATGTCCAGCTTACAGAAGAGGTGCTTAAGAGGGGACATGATAGCAGTCTGCAAATACCCGAGAGGCTGCCAGAAAGAGAAGGGAAAGCACCTTTTCTCTTGCTGCAGAAGAGGACATGGACCAATAAACTGAAGTCACAGCAAAGTAAATTTAGATTGGATATCAGGAAAAACTTCTTCACTGTTAGAGCAGGGAGGCAGTGGAACAGACACCCAAGGAAGCTGTGGACTCCCTGTCACTGGAGATGTTCAAGAAGAGGTTGGGCTGGCACTGCTTGGAGATGCTCTAGGCACAGCTATGCCCAGGTTCTACAGTGGGGTTTACCAGCCTTCTGGGCTTTGCTGATTGCCACATAGGGCTGGTTACCACATGGAACTTCCCCTCCCTTGCTGCTATGTGCGTTAGAGTTTTTCTTAAGCCTTCCTCAGAAGCATTGGGTATTGGCTGCAGTTCAGGCTGGGGGTTGCGACTAAGCTGTGCCTCTGCACCTGCTGCAACTTGAACCCAGAGGCTCCTGGCTAGAGGGTCTTGCCCCTTTGCTCGGGGCCAGACCAATGCCATCTTTGGGGCCAGGAAGAAATTTTACAGCCTGCTCAGATTGATATGGACTGGGGGAGCAGGGGTTGTCTTCTATAGCAAAGGGTGTAGCCTCTTCCTGGGATCTCTTGAGCATATATTAACAAGCCTCACAGTAGCAGAACATTGGCCACTGTTGTCTCCATTTTCCTTGTGGCAGGTCTGGATGCTGCGCTTTGTGGTTGTGCGGCAGTGCTGACTATGTAGTTTTAGTAGCAGATTATACAAGGATTTGCTTAGGATGAGGCTGGTCCTGCCTCAGGCAGGGAGATGGACTAGATGCAACCCCCACCGGTCCCTTCCAATCCTACTCCTCCAGGATCTCCTGGGCCCTTCTTGGAGGCCATGTGCAGCAAGAAGGGCCCTTCCAGGTCAGAGCACAGCCCCTGTTGTCATAGCCAGCACATCCCACCCCTCAGCAAGAGAGGCAGACAGCCTGGGGGTTTAGCATGTAAGCCCTGCTTGAGGGGCCATGAACGCACCTGCTCCGATGGGCACAGATCTGCCTCCAGCATCCAGCTTGAACCTGCTCCTGGGCCATTCACCCCATAAATCCTGTGCAAGCACAGCCCCTGCACAGACACAGTAGCCTAGCCCTCTCACACCTTGCTGTGCACAGCTAGACAAGCCCAGTTTTGCTCCTCGACTCCAACAGGTTCTCCATTTCCCTGTCCACCCCCACGTCCCTTCTCCATCCCTGCACCAGTTTGGCAACTCACTGGAGACTTGTAAAATGACACTGACACATCCCTAAAAGCGCCTTCCTTAACATGCCCTGGAGTTGCATTGGTCAGGTGGAGCCTGCCTGCTACTCCTGTAGTTTGCTCCTCCCCTACATGTTCCACTGCTGAGCTCCCAGAGGCTCCCCCCCCGCCTCCCCCAAAAGCACAGCTGCACTCCTGGAACCACTGGATTTCACCCTATTCCTTCTACATTGGTCCAAGGTTACTCAGCCCTGCTTGTGGGATATTCAGATGCTCTTCCTAACCACGCCTCAGGTGCTGTATTTCACTGGCACACAAGCTGCTTGATCCAAGACACTGGGCTCCCAGACTGACCCTCAAAGAGCTTCAGCACCACACACCCCTGCCCATCAGCTAGTGCCAGACCCACCTGATGCCTCTCCTACTGCCCCCACCAGGTCTGGCCACCTCCCCCGGGGCCCTGCCCTGACAGCCAGAGAGAGGGAGCAAGAGAGGTTGCTGTCTGAGAACAATCGGGGAGAGCTGGGTACCATCT